ATATATATATATATATATATATATATATTCATTTAAAAAGAATAACTTTTGTAATTATCCTTCTTAATTTCATGTTGAGTAATCGATGAATCAAGTAACCAATGAAAATTATCAAGAGGATTTGACGCATTAAAAGATTTTAATATTTATATATATTTTAATTCATTTACCTAAGTTTCTTGGAACAGTAGCACTAGTCCTCCAATGGTGGTATGGCACAGAATATAGATAAAAATGTACTTGCTATCGAAGACAACGCATCTATCTGTCTTGGAAAATATCCATCCTTCATCATTCCCTTATGCACGGAATTAATTGATTTGACTTTGGATCTTGAGCATAGGGGAAGCCAAACACCACAGCTGTATGGTTCTCATGCCCCATCATAATCTGGTGGACGTGGGGAATGGTTTTCTGCTACTAAATCAGGTAAAGATATTTCTATGTTTGTCTTATTCTTTTGCATAATTTCGTTTGAAACATTGGAAATTGTCTAGGTTTCTGTGATTAATAGCTAAAAATCTTGTTCAGAGGTTGGCCTGTTTTAACTGTTTTGCTGAGTACTGATCCTGTAAGAGTTTTGACGGTGCACGGCTACTGTTCGACGTAAGTCCTGTCCTTGGATTTGGATTTTTGGACGGATATTTTGTGTCCCTAAAAGTCTCTCCTGAAACTTTCTCATCCTGTGAGGCTCTCTCATAAGAAAAAAACAACTCGATGGGGAGGATTTTTTCATTATGTTAATTTATTAAAAACTTTGATTTGTGTTCTCTGGGCACATGTTCCAGGCTGCTGATGTCTCAGGAATTTTTCAACTGGATTTTGTAAGCACAGCAAGACCAGTGCAATGTATATGATGGCTTTGAATTGTAGGTCTGGTCGTGCGAGTGGTTCCCCATAACCTTTTGATCATATGGATGTTGGGAATTTTCATTAGGCAAACTCTTAAATCATAAACAAAACTGTGACGATCATTCTCTGTTATATTAGGCAATGCCTCATTATCATGAGAGATCCTCCATAGGAAAAGTATGATTAGCTTTTAGATAAATGAGGATAAAACAAATGGGCAATTTTGCATGGTGTTCTTAATATTGTGTGTCATCTACAAACAACCAGTTATCCTGGTGGTGTATATCAAGGTCTAATTCCAATAAGGTCGAGGTTTAAAACCCTCATTAGGCATCCCGTGTGCCCATTACTCCCTGACTGGAGTCTGAGACTCCCATAATAATCTGTGTTTTGATAGCATAAGAATCTAATCCATTAGTAAAATGAAGAATCTAATTAGAAAAATATTAATTTCCATCATATTTGTTATTTAAATTGAAAAAATCAATTGCATCTTCAGCCTCATTTGATTGAAGAGTCTTTGATTAGCTCTTGACATTGTTGAAACCAATCAAATTTAGTATTCTCTGTCGAATTATTCCTCAGTTTATTATTTTTTAATGTAGAATGGCAATAAAACGAATAGATGATGGGCACGAATATAAAAGCATTGATGCATGCAAATAACTGCAATGAGAAAATATTCTATGTTGAATTTTGAGCTTAGCTGAAGAAGATGAAGATTGCCATCTATGGTAAAAGTTATATACTTGATTTGCATTTGTGGTGTAGATTGTTCTATGTCCTCTTATTCAACACTGATAATGAGTTAAAGAGGGAAGAAAGAAGAAAGTGATATGGAAACGGATTCTCCATTTCTTGGTTCAAGCTGAGATTCTGGTGCTGCAGATGAGTTAAACAGGGTTTACAAGTATGTTTCTTTTCACATTTGCCTTGGCATTAGATTTTTCTGTTATATATGTTGTTAGCATATATCACCACTGCACTTGCAATAATATATTCTAAAATTTCTTCCCGAGTTGTGGAGCACTTTGTCATGACATAATTAACTAAAGATTAACTGATAACTTGATACTAGAATAGAAACATGACCATCACAGGTTGGGCTAAATAATGTGAAAAAGGTGAGGGCATAGGACATTTTCTGATGCCTACTCAGGCATAACCGTGATGTTACCATCTGTGTATGTTAATCCAATTCTTGAATAATGACATGTCTTAGAATTTTTATGCTGCAGATTAATCCTTAAGGACACAGGGAACATAGTCATTAAGGTTATTATGAATTGACAATAATTAACTACCCTTTACATGCTTTGATAGTCATCTATTTCTAAAATAACCATGTAGCATAATTTCAATTTCCTTTATCATTTCCAACCTTCTTTCTTCCCTTTTAAACTGTCAATTTTTTCCTCATGTTTAACCCTCTAATTCTTAGGGGTTCTTTAAATCCTATAATGCTTTAACTAACTTGTGTTGTATAAGATGAAAATTTTATGCACATCTTTTTCTATCAGAGTATAGGGATTAAACTTGGATTTCCTTCCTAGCAAATGATGTGATGAGAACGGTATTAACTTGAGTTTGATTGTAATCCGGAATATTCAGGGTAAACATTTAAAGCATAAATTACTATAAATATTACAGATTTTATGCAGGATAAAATGTTGGCAATAAACCATATTGCTTTATTCTTGTGGAGATCAAAATGGGAGCTGGATATATGTCAAATCCGGAAAGGATATGAAATCGAACCAAGGTTTTCTGCAGTTGTGCTCATCAACGGTAGAACAAGTAATTGATAAGAAATTGAAACTTGGATGGGATACTATTGATCAACTAAATCAAATACTTGTAATGTCCATAAATGGACTAGAAGACTAACTATTCAGTATTTGTAATGTCCAAAATACTTGGTAGTCATGCCAATGCAACTGCTGGATTGCAGGTTGATCAGGCAAGCAAGCCCCTAAATTGCAAGTAAATCAGCAATGATGGATTAAGAGCTTCACCTGGTGAGGCCCTAAGAAAGCTAACAAAATTCAAAATGGAACAAATAAGAAAGAGATATAGAATCTTCCGAGGTAACATCATGGCTATTCTTCCATTCCAATGAATACCTCTTCAAGATTAGTTCTATCACAATTGTATCTTACATTGTTGATTAACAGACCAAAAAAAAAAAAAAATCCTATTCTTGTCAAAATTATCATTGAATTGGGACTTTTAAGTTGACAAATGAAAGCTCTGTAATGAGTAGTACTACTTGACCCTTCTTGTTGCTGTTTGTCACATTGAACTTTGCTAATTAGGTCTCCACATTTAGTTCACATGATAGAAGGCAGTTTATTTCATTTTCTCATCTCCTTATATGTGCTTTCATGATGAAGATGCTCTCTAAACAACACTTTTGTCTATTTCCCCTTGTCAAGATTCTTTCTACTAGTCAACAAGCTTTTTGGATCTTCCTCTCATGCTTAATATTGCTTGACTAGGAATTTGGCACCAACTTTGGACAGTTCACTACATCGATACAAGGAACGCAAGGTTTCTAGGATGCATCTTGAGGTGGTGAAGGTGATGCAAGCTTTGTGGTTCATTGATTGTTCTCCAGCAATTGCTGTGATAGGAAAATGAGTAATTTTTTCCTGACAGGAGCTTGAGGCTGCTATGACATCTTCACCAAAGATTGATATGATGGTGTAGAAGACTAGCATGTCTCCAGGAATGCAGCAATAATCCAGCTATCAATCTCATGGTCAAGTATTGCTTGTAGAAGCGTGGATACTATCTAACATCATGGTGGCCATGGTCCATACCTGAATTATTGTTGTGAGCACCTACAACTACTCAACACCTGTTGCATAAAACAATATTTTATGGTCATGATCTAGTATGGTCTCTTCCAATTTAAGATTCCATGTTCCCTTGGTTGATGTTAGATCAACCATGGACTAGTGCATTGTGAGACTGTGAGAATCTAAATTATTATAACTCTTGTATGTGTGATGTGAGTACTGGATTTTTATAAGCTTTATTCCTTTTCATTGTATAATGGTGAGATAGATTTTGTATTTTTTATTTCTGTATTGTAATGAGACATAGACAAGCTATGCTAGTAATAGAATGTGCCAATAGAGTGTTGAGTTGGAACTAAAGCAAGGTGGTGTCACATGGTTTCAGATGTACCAAATGCTAATTTTATGAGGAGCATGTGATGTGCCCCACAAAGGTTCCTTCATTTGGTTGTTGAGATGGGGACATCACCACAATGAGTTGAGAAATCTATGTCAAGCTCAATCATTGGACACAACAACTATTAACCCCAGTAATAAAACTATTGTTATCAGATTGGACATATTCAGAATTAGATGTGCAATGAACCAATGCATATTCCTAAAATATGCAAACTTATTTAGATTAATTTTCATTGAATCTTTACTACCCTTTTAAAATTTTTTTAAGATGTGGAGTGATTTGGGTAGATAAAATTATATTGTTTGTGATAATTGTTGAATGGATTGTGGTTAATTTCTCCAAGTACATCAATGAGCATAAGCCAAGCTTGACTCTGTCTGTGTTGTTTAATCTCAGCTTAGAGCTGTTTCTAGAGATCAAATCTGTGAGCAAAGTCCAACTCATTTTATATAATACAGCCTAAGTTAAGCTAATTTCTATGCCAAGTTGAGTTTGAGCCTTTACCAAGTGGCTTTGTGGTGTTACTACTTTCACTCTCCCCCAAAACAATTCCAATTAAATCCAAGATTAAGCCAACCATTTGTCCAATCTCCAAAAGGTCTAAAGACTGTGTAGATCTTAAATCCTTCAACTTCTCAAGTCCATTATATTGAAAACAGATGATCATGATAACTGTCTCAAAATCCTAGTACTTAATTCTAAATATAAAATGGATATCATGCATCAATTTTTTTTTGTGTATAAAATTTCACTTGCATGCATAAAAATCTTCACAAGTGTAAGTAAGCATGCATGCATTGAATAATTGTACTTAATAGGGATAAACCAATAAAACCTTTTATTAAGATGCATGCATCTCTCTCTCTCTCTCTCACTCTCTCTCTCTCTCTCTCTCTCTCTCTCTCTCTCTTAATGTAGCCAATTCAGCCAAGAAACCTTCTTTCAAGCATAGCCAAGCAAACCAATGTTGGTTGGGAGTCTTTGTGGAGAAGGGAATGGATGGTTGTGGATGGAGGATGGCTTGATGAAAGAGAGAAAAAGTAAGAAGCAAAATCTAAATTTAGAGAGAGAGAGAGAGAGAGAGAGAAGGAGAGTCTTCTAGGTGAGTGAGGTGAGCCACAGCCAACCTAAACAATTGGGGAGGTCCCCACCCTCCAAATAGATGTCTTGGGTGGTGGGATCTTATGTTGTAGTGACTCACACTTTCATGGGCTTTTATAAAAAGTGAACTAATAACATTTCTCACACATACAAACAACATCAATCATACTTCTCTCTCTTCTCTATTATTATCAGTGGAAAATTAAAAGAAAGAATATAACAAGATATGTAAAATAAATATATATTATTTTCACTCCCCCATTCTCACTTTTATTGTTATTATTAGCTAATATATATATATATATATATATATATATAAATATAAAATTTTTGTCCACTTTCCCTCCTCCTCAGCTCTCATTTCGAGTGGTCACAAAATGGTATATAAAGAAAACAAAAGCTTTCTCTTTGCCTTCTTCTCCTCCTCCTCGTTGTTCAGACTCATACTTTTAAAGGTTGCTCCTTTTGCCCCTCTTTCTCTCGGTTTCATGCATCTTTCTTCTTTTGTTCCATTATGAGTACCCCCTAAATCATTTTCTGCTGCGTCTGCCCCCTTTTCTCCCTCGTTCCTGCGTTAAAAATCGTTTTTTCTTTATTGGTTTTCCTTCCTCGCTGGTATGTTCTATCGTAGAAATCCTTTCTCGATTAGAATTTCCGGTTCTTTGGTGGTTGTGGTGAATTGGATCGTTGTTTGGAGCCCTGATTCCCCCCTTTTCTCCATCGATTCTTGGTTACCAATAGGTTTCTTGTTGGCTTTAGTTCTCGCTAGTATGGTCGCGGATTCTGTCGTCGTAAAGATTACTTTTTTAGGTTAATAGTTGCTGTGATGAATTGGATTCTTGTTTCAGGTCCTCACTTAATTTTGTATTCTTATTTTTAGGTGCCGTCTCAGATATGGGGAGTGTCTAGGGTTTGAAGAAGCTGCTGGTGCTGCCTGATCATCTACGTCTTTCTCTTTGTAGTTGATGCTGTTTCTGGTGGTTTTGTTTCGTTATTGACCGGAACGTGATTGATGGAAGGTGGAATTTGCGGTACTTAAAGGGGGATTTTGGTTCGGAAATTGTCCTTTTGGTTGTTTTCTTATAAGGCTTTGATTCGATGTCTGCTGCTTATGGAAATGGTTGATGTGATCGAAAGAGCTGGATAGAGTGATTCGGTTGCAAGTAGTTGGTTTTTTGTTCAAAAGGGAGTAGATAATATTGTTAGTGTTGTAGAAACGGTGGGCGAGAATAAGATCATGGTTGAGGAGATGGATCTTGTGCATTTGGTGAAAGATAATCAAGCAGAGGATGTTTTGTGTTCGGAGATGGAAATAGATGAGAATGATGTTCTCAGTTGCATGAATGACCACCACAATGTCGGGAGTGAGAAGGGTGAGGGAAGCACCGTGGTCTTTTCGAGGGAGGCTCCTCTCCTGACAAAGGACGCTCTGATATCAAAAGATTATGGCTGTGGCTCCAAGAAGATCAGATCAAGAGCCTCTGTTTTGATGGAGGAGTCTGAGGTCAGAAGTAAGGACAAATGGAAGCAAGAGAAGAAACTCAGTAGGCAGGACAGGATCGAGCTGGGCCGCCTGTTTCAGAGAGTAGTGAGTTCCCAGGATTCAGAGCTAGCTGAGAACCTGATTCAGTTGGCAGATCCACAAACACTTAATGATATGCTGTGCATAGCATTGGATTCTATATGGTTCCTGACGAATCGACAGGAACTGAATATTATTACTGGGCTTATCAAGAAGATTGTTGCCAATGGAGCGAATGAGTTCACGAGGGCAGCCCTCAGGACATCATTTCTGGCTTCATGTGTTTCTGCGTGTCAAAGCAGAACAATGAGTTTGGCTGATACTGTGGGCATCATGGCCCAGAGGTAACGCTCCAAGTCTCCAACAATCCCGATTCCGATCCTTGGACATGAGTAGTTGTTCTTTGCAAAATCTCTTTCGATTGCTCATGGAAACTTCTGAAGAATTTGTGCATTTACATTGGTGGAATTTTTATTGTGGGTTGCTATTTTTCGTTCTCCTATAGTAGGAAACACTGTATTGTTGATGTTCCATGGATGATGAAATTTGTGTCCTCTTGATCCTTCTTTATCAGGTTGCATGAACGTCTACAAGAATGTCATAGTGATGAGGTTTTGAAGGCAGAAGCTGGTGCCAAGGTCCAGAAGTTCACAGAATGGGCTTTGAAGTGCATCGGAATTCATTGTCGTTGCCAGGAGAACAAGGGTAGAAGAAATCACAGCACAATTGTTGAAGTCCAACTTCAATTGTCAGCCTTTAAGACATTTTTGGATATTGCTGGCAACCATCTTTCCGGAAAGGATTTTACTGAGGCTTTTGATGCGGCATGCTTCCCTCTTACTCTCTTCTCTAGCTCATTTGAACCTGGTTGGGCATCTGGCACATCAGCAACTGCAATACAAGGATTATTGGGAATGCTTGTGGAAGGTGGGGCAGATAATGTAAACCAATGCTTTCTTGAAGCATCAAGATTTGGGAGTACAGAACTTGTACGGATATTACTACAGGTATCAATTTACTTCTAGAATGGAATTAAAGTGCATTTTCTTAAGATGCTTTAACTTCTATTGTAGCTATCTGTCACAAAGGGTGGAGGTGCTGTCGGGAAGATGCAGGAGAGGTGGAGAGCTCACAAGCAGCAGCTTTGTTGGGAAGAAGCAGAGAAAAGGGAGGGGAGGGGGGTTTGTGGGGATGGGTGTGAGCTCGAGGCCAGTGGCTAGGAGGGGGAGAGCGATGGAGGTGGAGGAGGGAACAGCATGCGAGGGGGCACGAGGAGTTGAGGACCGCGCAGCTTGGAGGGGGAGAGTGATGGAGAGATGGAGTGGAAGGGAGAGAGAGAGGAAAGAGGAGAAGGTACCACCATTCACGAGAGGGGAGGCACTGGTGGGCTGCCTTACACACGAATGTTGGCCACTGGCCACCACCTTGCACATGTGCCAAGAAGAGGAGACCGAAAACCTTGCACACACATTGGGAAGATGAGGAATAGGTTAAAGAAAGGGGTCAAAGTGGGTTAGGCAGGGGGGCGATTAAGTTAGATTATCTGGCTTGGTTGAATCGAGTCAATTAATTTGGGTTCAACTCAAGCTCAATCAAATCGATTTGGCCAAGGCGAGTGCCTAGGCCACTCGGCGGTTGGACCCAAGCACATGCTTAAGTGGCACCCAATTAAAGGTTCTCACTCAAACCTGAATTGAGGCGCTCAGGCCTTGCCACGCTTGAGTGCCGAGGCAAGTGCCCAAGAAGTGCCTCTTGATTTCACTGGGATATGTTGAGAACTAGCTGATATTTTTCTATAAAATAAAATTCTCATAGTAACTTCTTGATTTACAATTCTGCTTTATACCTAACCCTGTGTTGACATTAAAAGGCTTGGACGATGATGATATAAAATGATGGTAATTTTATCAAGGATTGCTACTTTATGTTAGCGACCTGACCCTTAAAATAGGACACTTTATAGCCTGTTTTGTTCATAATGTTTGATTAATTCAATGCTTTTATAGCACCTAAAACAAGAAATTGGAGATGCATTTCTCCTGCTTAATGTTCTCCTCAGATTCACTCCCTTCCAGCCAGTCCTTTCTTTCTAGTTCCTCGTGGTTGGTAGTTATATTTGTTTCCTTTTTTGTCTACCTTTCTTGGTTGTCACATTTGTTG